CCACTCGCACCCCACTTTTGTGGATATCAAAATAGAGGCAGCTTGTTCTTTCTAAGGCTGAATTCTGCAAACTACAGTTTCAATCTCAACAAAGTAATCAGTGTAATGGTATGAGGACCACACCTACAAAGCCCTGCCAGACTGGAGACCAGGATCAAGTTTCTCTTTTACAATTTCTTAATATCCTTTGTCATGCCATGCACTCTCTGCACATACTCTTTGAAAGACAAAACAAAAGGGCATCCATAACTATGAAGTGTATCATTTATGTTCACTCCCTGTCAAGTCCCAAAGAGAAGTGTGCGAGAAGGCATACAGTTGTAAAGTTAAAATGTGATGTGGCTTGCTGTCTCTACAGAAACAACTTGGAATAAAGTTTGCCAAAGTACTTCAGAGGTTTTGGAATTAATCCTATTTTCAAAGGTCAGTTAAGAAATTACAGGTCTGTCCATCCATATTCAATGAAATCTGGTCTCTGGAAGTCAACAGGAATACCTAGAGGATCTGGAACGAAGTGGCTACCTAAGTCCATATGGGGTCTGAGTCTAATTTGTCCCTTATTTATGTTTTGCCTCACTATTTAAGAAAATAATTTCCAACTTGCATTTCTTATAAATTATGAGTTAACTGGGTATATACCTGAAGTATTTGTTTTGTCTCTAACTACGTCTCATTTTTAGCAACCACCCTCCTAACAAACACTAAAAATTTCTGCCTTATTTTTGCTTCTCTCATCTTAGAGCATCATAATAAGTAACCTGAAAGTTAAATTCTTTACCTCCTAAAGATTTAAAATCAGTAGTAAATGCAACTTTCAGTACAGAATGCAAAATAACAGTTCTAGTTCAGGAAGAAAATGTGAGTACCTGAAAGGAGTCTTTCTGAACCCTACCACCAAGTGGAGCCCTCAGCTCTGAATTAAGTAGATAGTGAGTCCCTATCCTTCAGCGAGTTCAGGCTGTCTTCTGTGTAGGGGCCAAGACTAGCATCTGCAGGTTTCATGAGTAATCCGAGATAAATTAGCTAATAATGGCCAGATTCAAAGTTTTAATAGAGGTTAAGGGTTGGTATGCACACACAGGCTGCTGGCTGGAACATAGCTACCAAAACGTAGGTCTCTGACAGACAGAAAGAGGATTTAAATACCTTTTAGGTACCTAAAGCATTGCAGTTTTGAGGCCTACATCCTCCATGGAAGACTGAGCACAGAACTCCTTTGAGACTTAGCAGAAATGCTTACACTCACAGCTCCCTTTTTGCCCTCTGGAGAAAGGAAATTCTGTGGGATTACATTTGCATCCATTCAAAAAATAAAAAAAAAAAATGGGGGGGGGGGCACAAAGATTTAGATTATGCTTAGAATTTGCTTTCATAAAATACCCTAGAAGGGGACTGTCTTGGCACCATCTTTAAGGATATAATGCCACCTACTGAATTACCACCATTGCAGTCTGGAGCTCACAAGTTTTTCCTCAGGGGATTCAAAGCTACATGCTGATTCAGTGCTGACCCTGTCTAATATACGAGTTATGATAAGATCAGAGCCCTAGAAAGTGGGATGACTTTATACTATTTACCAATAATTAGCTGTATTTATCGATTCATTTCTGGAAGTTACTATTTTCAAGGACACCTTGCACTCCAGAGAAGAAAGATCTACAGCTAACTTTCATCTTATTGTAAGGGGACTCTATGACAACTACTTTGAAAGGTATCCCATCCATCAACAGGCCAGATTTCTCCCATGGACTCAGATACTTCAAGAAAAATCAACAAGAAGATTCTGCAGTAAGAACACAAAGAGTAGCAGAGTCAAGAACTCAGAGTTTGAAAATCCCAGGGTAACAGTTAAGAGCAAATGAGATTTATACAAGATTAATCTGTGCCCTTGTAGAAATGTACTGTAACATGTAGAAATGTACTGAAAGTAAGAACTCACTCTATTAGTTTAACTGCAGAAGAAGGCCTCATTCAGTTACCAAGCATTACAACATTTATATTGTTTTCCTTATTTAAGATAGCTCTTTCAAGCCCTATAATTAGTACAAAACCATGCTTATTTTTCCCATGTTATGGTGTTTACCAAAGCTAAGTCATTCACAAAGAAAAATTGCTTCAGCCATTCAAAGTCCTTGAGAGAAAGAGTCACCCTCTCAAAAAAAGCTAAAAACTGACTCTGCAACTTTCAACAGGGCTCATCCTCACTAAGTATCTAACATTCACAATTCCTTTTTAAACATTTGGTATCTCATCGTTCTTTTAATGTTGAAAGCACAGTTCCTATTCATTTCAGGTGGGAGTATTTGGTACCTGTGCCAACCTGACCCCAGGTGCCTTTCATTCAGAATTCAAAAGCGCAGAGCACACTGTTTGTAACTGTAAAAGGTGATAAAAGAGATGGAATCCTATTTATTTTTCAACTATAAAAATTGAACACTTTGAACGGAAGACTATCCTTGCTTTTCTTTCTCTGATACCTTGTGTTAATCACTTTACATCTTTTGTAAGAGATGAGGTAGGGATCCTGTACATGCTAGCCTTTTCCCTCGTATAGGTCATATTTTTTCCCAAGGTAGGTTTCTCTCATGCAGTGAATGAGGCAGGTGAGCCTGTAATTAAAAGCACTATCGTGATTTGTATTCATAAAGGAATTGAATTGAAGTTGTATGTAAATGCAATATTACTGGTATTTCCTGTGTAGAATACCAGTATGATTTTAATCACAAATATTTTAATGTAGCTCCTCAACCAAAAAAAAAAAAAAAAAAAAAGTAGAAATGTCTAAAATAGAGAATCACTTTGACTTTGAGATCTCTTAAAGCAGCCTTGGGTTTCTGGACCATAACTAGAACAATGTGAGTGCTGTGGGCAGTTACATAGCTGGCAACATAATGCCTACTTTCATGATAAAGTTTCACTTGTTGGGGCCAACTTAGAACTCCTAAGTTTCATTTGTAATATTATCTTCCTTGTATTTTCTCCTACTTATTCATTTTCTGCTCATCTTTGACTACTGTCTTTTGCCTTAACTCACCTAACTGTCTCTTTGGTGCTGATTTGCTATTTCACTTTCATGTCCTGCAGCTCTTCTCTCCCTTTTACTTTATTTTCTCCCCCTGAAATGCTGTCTAGGTAGGCATAGGTGAGAAACACCAAGAATTTGCTTTTGGGCCATGGGCATGACTACAGGGCAGCCCGAGTTGACAGGATGAGGAAGAACAGGGAAAAGATTAGAGCATTTAAGTGGCAGCTGAATCTTGGGAAAATATGAAAGTTAAGCTCTGAAGTCTCTGCTGATGCATATGAACCAGAATCCCTGTGAGGCTCTTAACTTTGCCAAATTTGGGCAGCTTTTCACAAGAATTAATAACCCTGGCATGAGGTGTTTTTGTTTTGTTTTGTTTATATGACCTTTCATATCCTAGTCAAAAGAAAGGAGACAGCATAGATCATAAATCGAGATTTTTTGTTCTTTTAATTTCTTAAAAAAAAAAAAAGAAGAAACCAAAACCAACCAAAAAAAGGACAAAACAACATGTTTTTTTCTCTCTCTCTTTTTTTTTTTTTTTTTTTTAATATATATATATTTATTTTTTCAGAAATAGCTGAATAGCTGAACAGTTTTAACTGAAACTCAGAAAACAAAAAGGGAGAAAGGAAAAGGGAAGCCTGGGGCATAATTCTGCTGTAGAAAATTTCAGTCCAGATTCTGAGAGTCTGGCAAAACTAGAAACAACTGAAAACAGAACTTTATAGCAGTGCACA